GTTATATTATTTTAAAATTTAATATTTTGATAATAGTAATATGTGGTGTTGGACTTTTCAAGATTTTTTTTTTTTTCTTTTTTGTGTATTTATCCTTAATGTATTAAAATTTTATTATGAGAGAATTTTAACTAATTAATTATACTCTAACCAAGTAAGAGGGGATGTATCTTTATACCTTATTCATATTATTAAATTTTCTGAACAAAATATAATTTATAAGTGATTTGAAATAGTAGTAGATATCTATTATTGATTTAAAGGTGTGAATCTTACTGTTTTAAGCCAATCATAAATTGTAATTTGTTTATACACCATAGGTATGTTAACAAAATTATGCTTCAAATTCTTCTCCTAACTTACATTTCCCCTCACTTTCTTTGCCGTGTATCCAAACATAATATTAAAAATTCTTGACTGTCATTTTGATTGTGATTGTTGTTTTAAAACAATCAAAGGTGAATTATCAATTGTCATGCAATGATAATTAAAATGGAAAAACTCATTACAATTTGAATTTTGAATTTCCCCCTTGCCAAACAGCTCCTGAAGAATGGTGGTTTAGCGGAAGCAGTTGGCGCTGACTGGAAGTGGAATCATGAGTCCCTTAGCTGTTAAGAAAGCTTAAATAATTAAGCTCCGTTGGGGAAGCGAATTGACTTTTTAATTTTTTGATTTTTTTTGATTATTTTAACTTGAGTTAAAAAGCTTGGTTTAGGAAGGATTTTTTAATTTTTTGGCTTTTTTGACTTTTTTGTGAGAGAAGAGTGTAATGATTATGGGTTGAATGTGATGTTTTGTTTGTTGTAACTAAAATAGTTTATTTTGTCTTTTGTGACTAAAATACTCATAAACCAACTTGCCAAACGGGGCTAAAACATAGAAGTTAAAATGAGGGTTTTGGTAGATGTTATTTTTGGCTTTTTAGGTTAAAATTTATAAAAAGATAAAATAAGTTAAAATAGTTAATAAGATAAACTGTCATATCAAATTCATAATCATTTTTTTTCTCCCAATTTGTTTAGTTTCAAGTATTTAGGATGAATATAAAAACAAAAAAAATTTGAAAAATTAGAAAAATAATGGCAAACTCATGAAAGTACAAATAATTTATGCACTATTTTATGCAAATAAGTGTTGTACTTTCATAAATTTGCAATTACTTTTTCTACTTTTCATTTTTTTGATATTTCCCCATTTATTTAAGGTATTTTTTATTTTAGGGTAAATAACAACGACACTCTCTGAGATTTAGTCCAATTACATTCTATTTATTGACATTTTAAAAATTATATTTCCACCCATGTAGTTAATAGTCTCATTTCACAAACTCCTACTTACATAAAAGGCAACAACTCGTAGAAGAAATTACATTAAAAAAAAAAGTCAAGAAAAGGATAGAAAAAAGAAGAAGAAGAAGTAAAACAAAGTAAGAAAAGACAGAGTGTATAAATTTAATATTTTCATTCAGTCTAAATAATTATAATGATGATATTAGTATAATTTTCTAAATATCAGAGGATTATATGTATTAAATCAAAACATAAAAGGTAAAAATATTTTACCCTTTATTTTATAAGCAAAAGTCTAAGTGAAGATTCGTTTGAAAATTAATTTTTTATTTTATTTTTTTACTTTTTACAAAGAGGCGTGAAAGAAAAAAGAAAAAAGTAATGATTGAAACTCTCACCCCCATAAGATTTCAATAAGACCTGTACAAATCTGGACCACTCATAATATAGACCCTACACATATATAAGTGAATTCCATACATACATGGAGGGTTAGGATCACTTTGGGAGTGTGAGGTTCATTCCCAAAAGGGGTTCCAAACATTTTTCAAAAGAAAATGAGTTAACATTTTGTGGGTATTTAAAAAGTTACTATTTTAGTAGTCTAAAATTTTTGTGTTTGAAAAGATGATTGTATTTTTTTATAATTGGATGTGATGTTTGTAAGAGAATAAGTGAAATAATTATGGTTTAATGTGACATTTTATTTTATTAACTATTCTAACTTATTTTATTTTTTTATAAATTTTAACCTAAATTAGGCTAAATTCCCACTTTCCAAACAGCCCCAAACACTCTTGATAATCTCAAAATAAGAATAATTATAAAATACTCCGATACATAATCTCAAAATAAGAGGGATTGTAAACTATTCCAATAAACTACATTAAAAACTAAATAAAAATTAGATTGGAGAATCACTTTTATCAGTGTTTTATTTAACGGTTTCGATTCATAGCTCGAATTTTGCTCGAATTCGGAGAAGAAGAAGAAGAGAAGAAGAAGAAGAAGGAAGAAGAAGAAGAAGAGAAGGAGGAAGAAGAAGCGGATTGGAGGGGGCAACAAAATCGGGTGGATGCGGAGGCGGAGGCAGAGGTGGAGGGGGAGGCGAAGGCGGCGGCGGAAGGAGGTGGGGCTGCGATGCGATGATCGGCCGACAAGCGACGAGCTGCTAACGAGCTACGACGACGACGACGACGACTTTGTTTCTCTCTCGCCTCTACTCTTCTCCTGTGTTCAACGAAGAAGAAGAAAAGAAAGAAAGAAAAGGAAGAGAAAGAAAAGGCAGAAAAAAAAAATCGAAACCCAAAACGACCAAATTCGGGCCACCGAATTCAAGCTACGAGTCATTTTTCTTTATTTAATAATGAGTTAGGTTAGAGACACCAAATGATATATCAATTTTTTTTATAAAATCTCTCACATAAGTGTGAGACCTACATATATGTGGGTTTGTGTGGGTCCCACACCCATGTGAGAAGTTTGATAAAAAATTTAATAAATCATTTAGAATCTATAACATTTTTTTAAAATAATTTTTGAACATTATGTGACGTTCCAAATCAATTAATTAATGAATTTTCTTTTATAGGTAGTACACGTTGACTCATCTTTAGATAATTGGGGAACATAAGAATCATTTGATGCAATTTATTTGAGTTAGTTATAATTTTTTATTTATTATGGGAGTTTATACGGACTTTTTGGTACAATTTTTATTTAGAACTTATTAAATAAAAATAACTTAAATAACCAAAAAATAATTAATTATTTAAAAATTAAAATGTTTATTATTTATACTGCCTAATTATCAATTTTTAACTTAAAATAAGTTGCAATTGAATTTTAGAGGGCATTTGGGGTGCATTATAAAATTGTATTTTTTATCTTTTTTTTTTTAATCCTTTTTAAATTATCTCTACATTTCTGTATATCTTTTCATAAAAAATTAAAAAATATACTTATTTAAATCGTTCCAAATAACTTTTAATTTTTCATTAGCACAGAGGATCTAAACAATAATACCATATCCTCATATTGAACCATATAACAAAATTAGAGTTAATTACTTAAAAATTCTATTTACAAATGTTATAGTAGCTTAGATCTTATTTAAGATTTTTTGAACCAATAAGTCTTATTTAGTAAAATTGAAAATATTATCAAAATTTTTCTAAATTTTAAAATTAAGAACATTATCAATTTTGCATAATAATGTTATAGATAATTGTTTCACTAACTGATGACAAAATAAAGCATGAGAGATTAAATGGTTTTGCCCTTCTACTTATTGGTTTGATTCAACTATCCAATAAAATCGAAAACATTATCAGTTTTTTCAAGTTTTAAAACCAAAAACATTATCAGTTTTTTTTATTTTTAATTTTTTAATTTTTAGTTTTGTATATTAATATTGGGCAAATTACCAACACCCCCTTGAGGTTTGACTAAAACACGGATTCTTCCCTGAGGTTTGAGAAATTACATTCCGCCCTCTGAGATTTATATTTGCATAACAAATTGTCCCATGACGTTTATATTTGCATAACAAATTGCTCCTCATTTGTTATACGAATATAAACTTCAGGTGGTAATTTGTAATTTTCCAAACCTCAAAGGTAAATTCGTATTTTAGTCAAATCTCGAGAGAGTGTTGGTAATTTGCCCATTAATATTAAAATTTATAATTTTGTCCAAAAAAATAATTCTATTTTTTAAAAAAAAAATATTAGTTTTTTTTATACATATAATTTTTTTTAATTTTTTTTTAATTCGAAAGTTGATATTTTAAAGTTTTGAAAATCAAAATAAATGTCAAATCATCATGTTGCTTTATAAATAATCATAAATGATGAACAATCATTATTTGAAGGACAATTCCGACTATTAAAAATTTAACGAAACTTAAAGATCTAAAATTTTTTAATTAAGACATAATGAAATGTAAGTTTATAAATTAGAATTTATGTGTCAATATCCCATAAAATTAACAGTCCAAATCTCAACTTACAATGACCCCGACCTATTAATCAACGTCCAAAAACCACTTATTCTTTCAACAACAATGATATATTTTAGGGTTTTAATTGAGTTCTAGTGAGGTAGAAAATCAAAAAAAAAAAAACACAAAATAAAACCAAAACAAAGTGATACTCTAATAATACCACTAATGATATGGTAGTAGGCGGGGCTCCTGTTTTTTTTTTTTTGATATTCCCAAAACATTAGTGTTATGAGTAATGCTAGAGACCCCAAATATTCTACCAAAAGTTTTATCAAATGTCTCACATGGGTGTGGGACCCACACCCATGTGAGACATTTGATAAAACTTTTAGTAAAATTTTTGAGATCTCTAACATTTTTGTAGTGTTATTAGTGTACTTTTCTTAAATAATATGAATCATTGTTGAAAACATTATATCAAATTAACCCTGCATACATACATTACCACTATTAAAACTCACAAATTAAAGCTTTAAAACATTTTTATTCTTTCAAAATATTCTGATCCCCCCGCGCACCAAATCTTTCCCCACCTTGATGAGTTGTATCATGGACCGCCAGGCTGGCAACGGTTAGAATCCGCAATACGCTGGCGATTAGAAGATGCTATTCAAATGGACGGCTGAGATCTCTCCATCACCTATGTTATCATGTGAGTCTTTTGATTTTTGGTGATATCATGTGAGTCTCTTTCTCCATATATACACACGGCACAAATATCATCAATTTTCACTAGGCCATGTTCTCCCACTAATCACTTCCTCCCAGCAGAAAACAAGGAGCCCCCCAAATATTTGGCCTGGGTTTCTAGAGAGAGAAAGTCCGTCTTTGCAATCACAGATCGGTACCAACATTCTCTTGGGTTAGTTTTTGTTTTTAATTTAAATTTGATCTGATTGCTTCGGTAGATTGGTAGATCTGGGATTATTGTTGTGTTTATTGGAAAAAAAAGTTGTCTTTTTTTGAGAAAGTTTGTGGGTTTGTTTGTTGATTTGTGATTCGAAGTGGGTTTTCAAAGTACATTATGGGTTTTGATGCGTTTTTTCTTGGTTGATTTGTGTATTTCATTTTGAATCTCATGGCTAATTTGGGAAATTTTCTTACCAATTGGAAACCTGAAGGCCAGGCGTTTAATTTAATCTTTTTTTTTTTTTTTTTTTAATGTTTGTGAACTTTTAGTTTGAGGTTGGTTTTGTTATGATATTTGATTAAAATTGATGAGGAATGTATGACGAAAGAATAATATGTGAAGTGTACATGAAAAAAGCCAGTTTCAGCCTTTACTCAATTTTTTACCTAAAACTTTATTCCATATGCTATGTTGCATGGAATTGGATAAGGGTGTCATGTACCAATGCGTGTCTCAAGGTCAACCCATCAAATCTCAAATTTAAGGATGTGTTTGATTTATGGATTTAGGAAGGGATTTGGAAAGAGAAAGCGGCAATCTGTTTGCGTGAAGTGTAGGTAAAATGTACTTATATTTCATTCACATTTCACTTATATTTTCCTTTTTCATTTCCAAATCCCTATTCAAATTCATGAACCAAACACAAGGTAAAGGTATATGGGTTCACAAAAAAGGTCATAGTTCGCCCTTTGTCCAAGTGTATTTAATTTATTTTGAAGAGCATGTGACATAGTTGATATGAAGCACTCCAATGGACAAACTTAGATTTAAGCATAAATTTGGGTGAAAGCATCACTAATGTTGTTAATTTGGAAGCTACAAAATAGTCTTGAAAAATTTGCATAAAAAAAAAAAGAAGAAAAAAAGGGAGAGTAAAACTCGTTTTGATACAAGTAAAGAAGTGGAGAGGGTTTTAGGGTTTTTTTTTAACCCAAATTTAAATTTGATATTGGTAAAGGGTAAGGGTTCGAGATGTCCTAGGTTCTGCAATTTTATTGCTCGAGAAATAAAATTTCATCAAAATGTTAATAACTTAGGCTGATAATATCTTGATAGAGCTACACAAAGTGATGCTTGTGCTGATCTTGATAAAGCTACACAAAGGGATCAGCCCCCCAACCACCAAAATAAAAATAAAGTGTTTGGTAAAGAAGGTAAGAGTTCGTGTTTAACAAGTTTTATGACAAGCTACCATCAAACTAGAGGTTTTGGTCAAACCTTACCTTATTTGAGATGTGTAGCTATCACATGAATACAAATACAAATCACAAAAACCAAGGAATACAAAATACAAATTTAATGAAAGCCCATTAACCCATTAACCACATAGAAATATGATTATTTTCCCTTGTCAAATGTTCACAAGCCAACTGAGTTTAGTTTGATTTAGAAGAGTATTATATGAGCTTGAACAAATCTATTGTTGAGTGCAGCCAAGCTATTCATGGGAAGCGCAGTCAGTTTGCCAACCCTATGCATAGTATCATGGCTACAATAAAAATCTATCCTAAAAATTGTTGAATATGATAGCATTAATGAAATTAATTATCTTCCCTTGACCCATGATCACAAGCCAACTGAGTTTTGTTGGGCCTTGTTTTTGTGGCGCCATCATTAGAACAAGCTTGTTTCAAAATAGTATTTTATGAGCTTGAACGAATCCATTGTTGAGTTGAGCCTGAGCTGTTTGCAGGCAGTGTAGTTCGTTTGCCAGCCATATGCATAGGCAAATGCCTTATGAATAAAAAATTGAACAAGACAATGGCACCAAATTAATTGTATAGCAGTAGTCACATTGCTTTGAAATAAAAGGTTGAAAGGTGGACAACTTGCATTCTTGAGTGTTTTATGGATTGTTTGTTTATGTTGAATTACTCTATCTCAAACATTGGGGTCCATCAACCACAAAAAGGCCACATATTTATGTTCTTATGGGATTCTCATTGCACCTGCTATTTCAATGTTGTTTTCTTTCAGTGTTTTGTTCACCAAGGTTTTATGAATTTGATTACTCAGTTTTTGTCTGCTGTCTAACTTATTTCATTGCGCACGTGGCTTCAGGTATATAAAAGGGTGCCAAGATGGTTGCACAAGGCTTCACAGTGGATTTGAATAAACCTCTCGTCTTCCAGGTGAATAACTACCACTGCATTTTGTTTTCCATGATATTTGATGATAGTAATTGTTCAAAAAACAGTAAATAAAGATTTATCAAAAAAAAATAAAAATAAATAAACAGTAAATAAAATAAAACAGAAAGTTTATGCACATACATATCTCTTGGTGTTTAGAGAGCTAGTTTTACCTGATATATAGGCTATTGTTTCTTATTCAGTCAATATTGTAACTAGGATGGGAAAAGAAATTAAATGCTTCATACAATCCATTAGTCAATTTTTTGAACTCTCTAATTCAGGTGGCTGTATCAGTCTAATTTATCTATTTTGAACTTAAATGCTTCATTCAATCCATTAGTCTATTTTTTGAACTCTATACATTGGAAGCTTGGTTCCTACACATCACTTCTATTTCCATCCTAGAAATGCCTGTTCTCTTTCTCTTTCTCCGGCATTAATTAACTTTTTTGACAATCTTTCCCAGGTTGGCCACCTTGGAGAGGATTACCAGGAGTGGGTTCACCAGCCTATTGCTAGCAGGGAAGGTCCTCGATTTTTTGAAAGTGATTTTTGGGAGGTATTACAAATTGCATACCAAGCACTTTCACTTCTTCACTCATGCTGCATGTCATTTATCTTTTTGTATTTTTTTTCCTATAATTTTTTTTTTGATATTATTTTCTTTAGTTTTGATACATTGGACTTTGGGTTTATGTAATGCATTCTATGACAATGTTCTGCAGTTTGATTGATTTTGTTTGAAACAGTTTTTGACCAAAAACGAGTGGTGGGTAATTCCTCTAATCTGGCTGCCAGTTGTCTGCTGGTGCATCTCCATGTCTGTTTGGAAGGGCCTCACACTTCCTCATATAGTATTGATGGTGATCCTTGGTATTTTTATATGGACATTGATGGAATACAGTTTGCATCGCTTCCTTTTTCACATCAAAACAAAAAGCTATTGGTTAGTATTTCTTTCTCTGTGTGTGTGTGTCTCTCTCTAGGGGTTGCCCAAGGCTTGGCCGAGCTAGACAATCAACTAATGCCGCCGATTTGGAGGACTGAAATTTTTTTATTCCTTTAATGATAGTTTATAATATTAATGACACAGGCATTTTCTCAACTAATTTTGAATATCACTTTGCCTCCTCAATTGGAAAATTGTACATTTGGACCCCTCTACAATAAAATTTGATCACTTTCACCCCTTCAGAAAGAAAGGGTGCATTTATACAAATTTTATTTTTTATTTTTTTATATAGATAATCAGTTTTAATGTATGATTTTAAAGTTGAGATCAGTTATAGTTGAGGGGGGTGTCAGTGTAATTAACCCATATATATGCACATATGAATCTAAATATGGCATGCCCAAGAATTATATATTCTCTTTTTTGGCCAAAAAAATTGTTCCCTTGAGCCTCACATAGCCACTGTCATTGGCCCGAAAAAAAATTTATAGTCAACTGATGTCTTCTTCTAACTTTTCAAATACATGTGAACTTCCCGATTTTACTATTTGCTGTCAGACAATTATGTTCTTTTTATCTGAACAGTTATGTGTTGAGGGGGTGTGTCAGTGTAATTAACCCATATATATGCACATATGAATCTAACTATGGCATGCCCAAGAATTATATTTTCTATTTTTTGGCCAAAAAAATTGTTCCCTTGAGCCTCACATAGCCATTGTCATTGGCCCGAATTTTTTTTACAGTCAAGTGATGTCTTCTTCTAACTTTTCAAATACATGTAAACTTCCCAATTTTACTATTTGCCGTCAGACAATTATGTTCTTTTTATCTGAACAGTTATGTGTTGTTCTCTCTTTTTATTTTTATTTTTTTTACCAAGTCCTGAAACGTAAATATCCACAAACTTCTTTCTAAAGTTTATTTGACCATTTTTTCTAGAATCTTCTATCGTTAATTCATTTGAAATTTGCCTTAAATGTGGTAAACAATAAATATTAGAAAATGAATTCTATGTAAAAAATTACTATGGAAGCTTAAAAGTATTTATTTTGATATTTAAATTTCTTTTGTTTTTTGGTACAATGAAAGGGGAGGGGGAGTCGAACCCATAACTTCCTATTGAGGGACACTGGCCATTAATATTTAAATATCAAAACAACAGGTCTCATTTTAAGAATTCACCCTTAGGCCCCTAAAAAAATATTGGGTTGCCCATCTGTGTGTGTGTGTGTGTGTTGTGTGTGTACCAAGCATTGCAGTCAGTACTGCATTCAAAAAATCTCTGTTTTCAAATTCTCTGTACTAATAATGGCAATTACTTGTTATATAGGGGAAACACATTCCATTATCTTCTTCATGGTTGTCATCATAAGCACCCCATGGATGGACTACGCCTTGTTTTCCCTCCTGCTGCAACAGCTGTCCTTTCTTTTCCGGTATGTGCCATTAATTCTGTTTCTTCCTTTGTACTTGTCATTGAATATATGACTTGACAATGTTTTCCTTGCTTAGTGTGGACAACATACATGTCCCACTCATTACTCGTTAGCACTGCAATATGTAGCTCTCTATTAAATGGTTTGGATAATTTGTTAATTGTGATCTATACAATCCGTTTAAATGTTTTATTGTCCTAATACTCCCACTTTTATGCTGCCATGTGCTTACATTTGAGATGCTAACTTTTATTGCAGTTGTATGAATAGAAGTTAACCTAATATGGTAACATGTCCGGTCCAGATTACTTCTGGTTTAGATTACTCTGAAATATTTAGAGATTATTCGTGTCATTTGATTGCATTTGAGAATTTCTATTTAACTCTCTCTTCATGTGCAGCAGGTGGTTTAAGAAAATTACATAGAAGGCTCCAATACTTGCATATATTCTAGAACAAACTCCACTCTTTTGTGTGTGTGTGAGAGAGAGAGAGAGAGAGAGAGAGAGAGAGTGGATATGTCTTTACATCTGTCTCTGCCTATTCTACAACTCAGTTGGATCGAGTGGCAAATAGTGCATCAAATTTAAATGGTTTATTGTGAATAAAATGAGTAGATCCTAAGGTTATGGGGGGAGGAACAAAAAAAAAAAGAAACTGAACTTATTGAAACTGCAACAAATAACACTTTTGAATGAACACAAGGATCTGAATCATATATGAACAAGCATAGATCTGTACAACATAGGTGTGTACTTGGCTTATTGTTAACTAATTTTTATATTGTGTCTGACTCATTGCATGGGAGGAACAAAAAAAAAAAAGAAACTGAACTTATTGAAACTGCAACAAATAACACTTTTGAATGAACACAAGGATCTGAATCATATATGAACAAGCATAGATCTGTACAACATAGGTGTGTACTTGGCTTATTGTCAACTAATTTTTATATTGTGTCTGATTCATTGTATCTGTTGCTGCAAGGTCTGGAACATGATCAAACTTATATCTACTCCTACTACTACACCTGCTTTGTTCGGAGGCGGTTTATTAGGTTATGTAATGTATGATGTCACCCATTACTATTTGCACCATGGACAACCAACAGGTCAAGTAACTCGACATCTTAAGGTAAGAGTTGTACTTGTTTACATTTTCAAGCGGTATGAAATAATCAAATACACAACTCATTTTCTTTCTAGTGAATCAAATGAACCAGTCAATCTTTAACGAATGATTGGTTGTACTTTTGCAGAAATATCACTTGAATCACCATTTCCGTATCCAGGACAAAGGCTTTGGTATTACTTCCTCGATATGGGACAAGGTGTTTGGAACACTACCTCAATCAAAAGCAGCGGGAAAGGGTAGATAATTTAATTAGCATTTGTTCATTGCAGTGTTTTAGTGGTTTGAACATATGTTTTTTCTTCCTTATCATTCTTTTACCGCTGTGGTGCTGCTTATCGATTCTATGGCATATTTTTGATAGTATTTGTTTCTGAAGTCTAGCATGTCTGGATGGTGTTGACTTGCCCTTTCTTCCAACCAAAAAAAAAATGTATAAAATGAATTTATTGTCTTGGATTCAGTATTTATTTATGAATTCGCTCTTCCATTAGTCTCTTTGTTAAGCATTTTATTGTCAGGTTTATGTATACTTACTTTTCCATACTTGGAGGGTAAATTACACTTTGACCTGATTTTTTATTATTTTTTTGTTCTCAGACTCTAAAGGAAAATAAAAAGCCATGTTAATTGTTTTCTTATTTCCTCTTTTTCCAAGCTGCACATGTGAATTATATAGGAAACTGGACTTGGGTGTCGAAAACGTTATGAACATAAGTTTTATATAAGCTGCCAAGACTGGTTGAACAGAGAAATTTCTCTGTTTGGCAACGAAACTTTTCTCTTGAACAGTGAAATTCTCAAATTTTCATGGGTTTTTTTTTTTTTTTTTTATTAAAATGTTTGTGCTCTTGCTATACAAATGTAGCCATGATATGCAATTATCATTACATTATTTGTTTGTAACAGAGGTTGAGGGCACACAACACCCAACCCAACCCGAAACATCTTTATTCCTATTTGTAAACTGCCTTGAACAAATAAAATTTGCTTCAATGATATTTATTATATTATGCTTCATGAAAACCCATTTCTACCCTCTCATTTGCTAGTACCCATTTGTTTGTAATTATTTGTTTTATATAAGTAATATCGAAATTCGCATATTTTTGTTTTTCCAAAGAAGTGGGTCCTGAAAAGTGAGACTTTAATCCCACTCTCTTGCGCAATCTACAATGAGCGATCGATACCAAAACTGTCTCTTTGGTCACCTAATAGTTTTGCCTCTTGAAAATCAACTTGTAGAGGGGTGTAAGAATGCTTATTTCACATGGACAAGCCTCTTATTCTCTTGAAAATCGACTTGTAAAGGGGTGTAAGAAGGCTTATTTCACATGGACAAGCCTATTATTGGGCAATGGAGCTCGTAACATACCACCATGTAACCGATGTCTATCGTGCCTCAGAATATTAAAAATAAAAAATAATGATATATAAATAGAAAATATATAGAAAATGATGTGGTAGCATTGTGAATCACTTTAAAACAAAAACCTATCAACAATTGTTTTAGAATAAATTATGTTAATAATTTTTTGACTAAAATATAAAATTAAAATAATTTTAGTATGTTGGGGATAATTTTTTAGTTTTTTTTTTTTAATTTGTTGATTTTTTAATTTTTTTAAGTGATTTTTTCACTTTTAGATTAAAAGATGTTCCCAAACGAGTGTGTGTAAATTCTAATAAAATAGTATTTTCCTGAAAAAAATCCAATACCACCTCTTGTTGGAGAAAGGAAACCCTTGTTCAAAAATAATTTTAAGTATTTTTTTAATAAAAAAAACCCTAAAAAAATTATAAAAAAATCAAAATGTTATCTAAAAATATGAGTGCGATTTATATTCAATATTTGAATAATAAAATTCACATTTGAAATAAATTTGAATAAAAAAAATTGTTTTTTAATAAAATTTTATACATTTCATGAGTATATGGATTTGCCGATAAATCAATACCTGCTATTGACTAAACAATTTTGCTGACCTCTAAAATCTAAGTAGATATTCAGTTTTTGATTTCTAAGACCATCTCTAACCCAACCTCAAATGTTCTCACATTTGAATTTGATGAAAAAATTCACCTTTTGCTTCTTCAATCGAGTACCAAATATTTTATTAAATTTAAGATTTTTCAAGTCTTTCATTAAATTAAAGATGTATTTCCCTTTCATCAAATCATTGTTCATAACCATTGAGGCTACGGTTATTTTCACCACTAGACGACTAGCCGGTTGTCCCCCCTCGGATGACCACCTCCTTATAAAAATTTGTAAAAAAATACACTGACTGATCATCCCTCGGTTGTCCTCCTGGTAGATCAATGGTTTGATAAAATCTCAAATCACCCCGTTAGAACACACAATGTCAAATCAAGATTATATATATATCAAATTTAAGTGAAATTTTATGAAAAAATTGAGTAAGACGTTGGAGATGCTTTAAGAGCATCTTCATCCAAACTTTCAAAATTTGGTATGCCAAATTTTTTTTGAAGGCTTGAGTGGCAAATTGACATATGTCAATTTGGCATAAAAACTCTCCATCAAATATGTTAAATCTATTATTCTATTATTTTAAAAAAAAATTATTTTATTAAATAGACTTAAAAAAAATAAATAAATTAATTAAGTAGACTTAACATTTAACATCAACATGGAGGATGTTAAATTTAACATATTAAAAGTTTGTGTCAAATGTTAACTCCGCATTTGGCATGTTTGTACTCCTACAAGGCTGCAATCGAAACATAAAAATCTAGCTTTGATATGTTAAAGAACATTATTTCTTGTATAACGCTATGAGATTAATGGGACACAACACAACGCTCAATTTAAATATAATTTTTATTCCAATTTATTAATTCAAATACACATAACAAAATTGCTCCAAGGCTATATATATATATATATATTATGCTTCATAACAACCCATTTCTACCCTCTCATTTCATACTAAGGCCGGTTTAGTTAAAAACCGGTTTAGTTAAAAAGTCATAATAACCGGTTTCACTTCATAATAACCGGTTTAGTTAAAAAGTCAAAAAACCAATAACTCATACAAAAAATTCAAAGATTCTCTTTTCTTTCTACTTTTTGTACATCTTTTCGTAAAAAATTAAAAAATCATCTCAAACATATTAATTTTTTTAACTCATATTTTAATTAAATAATCAACAAATTACTAAATTAATTTATTTCCAAACGGGACTTAATTATTTGATTGATCTAACTATTACAATAATTTTAGTCTCAAATCACTCCTAACCAGTCACATAAGGAAAAGTGAAACCAAAAATTTCATCTTTTTCAACTTTTTGAAGAGGTGGGTCTGGACAAATTAGAAGTTTCGTCTCACTTTTTCTTGTATAGCCTACCATGAGTGACCTAATAGTTTCATCACCTAATAGTTTTTTCTCTTGAAAATCTAACTTGTAAGGGGTGTAAGAAGGCTTATTTCGTATGGATATGCCTATTATTGGTAGTGTTATATGCACTAATTAGTGTAGTGTATCACTATTAATTATGATATTATTAATGATCTTATTCATTATATAAATTACAAATACTAAAAATTTCTTAAATTATGTCACATCATCAATTAATATACTAATTGATACATATAGTATTATTTATCTATTATTAGGCAATGGAGCTCGTGACATACCACCCCATAACCGATGTCAATGGTGCCTCAGAATATTAAAAATAAAAAATAATGATATATGAATAGAAAATATATAGAAAATGATGTGACACTGTTGTGAATCACTTTAAAACAAAAATCTATCAATAATTGTTTGAGAATAAAATATTTTAATAATTTTTTGATAATGTATATTGGGGATGATTTTTTAATTTTTTTAATGAAAAATGTGAAAAAAAAAGAAAAGAAAGAAAAGAGAATTTTTTTGATGTTTTTATATAATCTATTGACTTTTTAATTTTTTTTAATGACTTTTTCATTTTTAATTAAAAGTGAATGTTCCCAAATGAGTGTGTATGTGAATTCTAATAAAATAGTATTTTCCTGAAAAATATCCAATACCACCTCTTGTTGGAGAAAGGAAACCCTTGTTCAAAAATAATGTCAATTATTTTTTTAATAAAAAATCCTAAAAAAATTATAAAAAAATCAAAATGTTTTCTAAAAAATTGAGTGCGACATAGATTCAATATTTGAATAATAAAATTCACACTTGAAATAAATTTGAATAAAAAAATTGTTTTTTAATAAAATTTTATACATTTCATGGGTATATATGGATTTATCGATAAATCAATACCTACTATTGACTAAACAATTTTGCTGATCTCTAAAATCTAAGGAGATATTCAGTTTTTGATTTCTAAGACCATTTCCAACGCTTCACCAAACATTGCATCAGATTTGAAATTTGGTGAAAAAGTCACTTTTTGCAGCTCCAATGGTTTCATCAAATTGGTATCAAAACGAGAATTCACCAAATTTTTCATCAAAGTGAGAACAGGGGGAAGATTTCACCAATTTACTGTGCTTGAACGTTGGGGGAGACTAACCGGTCAACCAGCCGGTTGACCAACTAGTCGACCGGTTTCCTTGCAAATAGGTTGGTTCAAACAGGTTAAAAGGTTCAAAGAAGTAAAAAAAAAAAATACACTAACCAGTCGATCGGCCGGTCGACCCCTGCTTTGATGAGAACCATTGGAGCAGTCTATACCAGATTGAGAGAATGGTCTTTTTTTTACTCAGATTTGGTGAAAATTTTGGTGAACCGTTGGAGATACTCTAAGGCCATTTATATTAGTTGAATGCTTTCAAGTCCTTCATACATTTATTTTTCTATCATTTTCCTCCTCTTCTTCCTCCAGATTCTGACCCCTGATTTCCTTTTGATAATGTCACAGGGGGAGAAATTATATGATGTTATGTATTATGGTATTATTTTCAAATTATGGTATTATTTGAGAACTAATCTGATGATTATGTATTTATAGTTTGATATCTTAGTCTCATATCATGTCTCTAATTAAAGTTTATTTATTACACATGTGCTATCCTATGTATTTAGAAATGAATTCAGGGAGCATGACTTGAGGAGAAGCTTTTCTTACTCCCAAATCAAATCAAAACATCATTGTGTGCCATCATCAAAAGGGATGAGATTTTTAGACTTATTTATTTTGATAATTTATTTAATTATGTTTTATTTTATTTGGAAGAGAAAAAAAGAATCAAAATTTATTTTGATGATTTATTTGAAAGAGAAAAATAGAATCAAAATTTGTTTTGATGATTTATTTGAAAGAAAAAATAGAGTCAAAATTTATTTTGTCCCATTGTTTTTCACCTATACCTTTATCCTAAATGTTGTTAGAATGTATTTAATATTTGATTAAATTAGGAGTTCAAACAACCCAAAAACAGAGGTTCAAACAGCCCAGCACAGCAGCAGTTCAAAAGGTTCAAGTGAAAGATATTCAAATTAATAATAATGGAGTACAACGGCTATAAATTCAAATGAATACAACAGCTATAAACGGTTATAAGTTTCATTATATATGCCAAAGCCTCTAATGTAAACAAGTTACAAAAAATCAAAAAATATTCTTTGATCTATAATCACTCACATCTATTCTCTGAAAAATTCTCTGAGGAGTGTTCTTCAATTTTTGTTTACATCATCTTTCAGAAATTATACACTGAGGCATATAGCTTTAAGCCCATCTTTTCTGTGTGAGGTTTACAGAAAAATTAGAGTTTCATTTTTATATCTATCTTTGAGAGATAATTTTTGTACCTTTCTATGGAAGCAAAAACACATTATTTTCAACATTGTAAGAGTATAGTACACTCAGTGTCCTTGAATTAGAAAGTTTGTGTAAAATCCGTGGAGGATTGCTCCATTTTGAAAGAAGTTGCTAGCACTCCCGTGAAATTAGAGTATAGTGGAAAATCTCAAGTGAAGTTTGAGGAGTGGACGTAGTGTAACTACCCCAAAATGTGTATCAGAAATTATCTTTATTTAATTATGGGTTAATGTGCTTTAGTTTCATGATATCTGTTTGAATGGAGAAATTATCTGTTGAGTTACGACTTTAAAACTGAAATTGCCAACCTATATGGGTTCAGAAACCGAAATTGAATACATGAATATGCTAGCGGGAATTTTTAGAGCCAATTGGGAAAGTTAATTGAAAATCTGATTTGTCTGATTCATTAAGGTATGTTTGGGTGGTTAACTTTGCACTGCAAATTGAAGGTCTTAGAGGCTTCACAAACTAGACCGGAGTACATAATTATGATCAGTATAATTTTTAGAGTCATCTGTGAAGTTTAATTGAAAATTTATTTTGTCTGATTCGCTAAGGCTTGTTTGGCAAGCCCAAAAGGTAAAGACTTGTTTATATGTTATATAAATCTCTTTATGAACTCATCTCCTTATATATATTGAGTGGGGAATTCTAGAGAAAACCCAAGGCAGATAGAAAGAAGGGAGAAGAAGAGAGACTCATCAAGGGGGAAGATTGAAGGAATTAAAATAGGGTTTGAGGCTAGAGCTCAAGGTATGTTCAATCTAACTAGAACATCCTAATCTCTCTCTCTCTATTTGATTGGGAAGGAAATCTTTGCATTCATGTAAGTTAGGGTTACAACAAGAGCCTTGCTTATGGAATTTGGATGCTTTGGTAGATGATCTTTAGGTTTGGGGGTTGTTTTGAGCTATGTTTCTTTGGTCCTACACATCTTAAGTTCACTCATACATCTTGATGTTTATAGAGATATATTGTGATGAACCAAACATGGTTGAAATGTAAAGAATTTGAGATGTATATATATGAATTTAAGAGGAGTATGGATTGATTATGTTTATGATTCATGTTCCTTGTATTAGTATGTCATGATATTGAGCTAATTTGCCCTATCTTATACCTTGCAAGGGGTTTCGGTAATTGAGTTTTTGTCTAGATTTTGGATTGCCAAAATAGAGCAAACGACCGCACGTGCGGGAGGCACGGCTGCACGTGCGGGGACCACAGTCGCACGTGCAGAAAACAAGAGAGAAGGGTCGAACTACAATGCTAAAAAGGCACATGCGGCGCACCTGCCCCCCCGTAAAGCGGGGACTTCCACACGTGCGTCTCAAGTTGAAAAATTCTGAAACTTTCTTTCGCTCTTCTCGATCCTCTGAATGTGTTGTTATGTCCATTCGATGTTCCTGTAATGTGTTTAATTACATGAAACGTAACAAAAGGAATAATTAAGAATTAAAAAGAAACTAAGAATAGTGATGTGCTTAACGAATCGAATGCTTGAGAAATAAGAGGAAATTAAAGAGGAATGATTTACTTACGAGTTATGTGCTATGTGTAGGGCACATACCGGAGGAGACCATTGTTCACTCACATCACTGTGAGTAATAATAGTGTAATGATATATATGTTTGCTCTTGCATTTCTGTTTACGAATTATTATATCTTGATTATACTTGGCACGTTGAAATCATTGTGCTATGATTTAGACATTCTTGATTGTGAATGGTATATTGAGATAAGTCATGCTAGGATTCATGTATGTTTATTGGATACAAATTACATTTATTGCAATGGAGTACGTTATGTGAATTATGTTTTGATAAAAAGAATTAGACAATGGCATTGATATGGATCTAAGGTCGCTTTGTTCTATTGATGGGCCTGAGGCCATTATGATGTGAATTGTTTATGATTAATGGCCTTAAGGCCGAGGGAGATGGAGACATGCCGATATTCCATCTACTCTATAATGATATGAATCATACATGATTAATGGCTCTAACGCCAAGGAAGTTGGAGACATGCCGATGTTCCATCTTCCCTACATTGCTCTAGACAACTGTCATTATATTGGGCCTAAGGTCGTTTCATATCAAACATGGGCCCGAGGCTGTTTTGATACATGATTGGGCTTGAGGCCGTTCTGATATGCGATTGGGCCCGAGGCCATTCTGATGTATGATTGGGCCTGAGGCCGTTTTGATATGTGATTGGGCCCAAGGCCATTCTGATATATGATTGGGCTCGAGGCCGTTCTGGTATATGATTAGGCCCGAGGCCGTTTGGTAGATATGATTATGAATAATGTTGAGAAGGATGTAATGAGGAAGAGTATGGTGTTATGCTTCTTTTGAATCTAGATTATTTATCTGATTCATTTCACTTTATTATTACTGAGTTTCACTCACTCTGTATTTTATCTGTATGTAGGTGATCCATCCAGAGACTATCCTTAGGTCAGCCACAGGAATTCTTTTGTGAGCCTGCTAAGTCAAGCCACCGAGATGCGCCTCTGTGTTGAGGCTTTAACATTGTATTGTTAGAATTTTATATTTACCTAAGTTTTATGTATATGTATGTGAGATCCTTATATATACATATATATATATATATATATATGTTTATTAGCGTGTTTATATTGTTTTAATTATTTTAGGTATCATGCATGCACAAGCTCAATGGATATTACTATTTGATTTGCTTCCGCTTTAGGTCCCGATGTCACTTAAATATTTTCAAATTTTGTCTTTGAGGCCTAAGTACAGGCCGGTCATGGCCTAAACTTTTAGGGGTAGGTTCGGATCGTAACACGTAGGCCGAGTTGAAACCGAACCACTATAAATTTGTTTGCCTCTCTCTCCCTTATCTCTTTATTTTATTTAAATTGCTGTAACTATATTTCACATTTTCATTGTGTTAAAATCATTAACTGACATAGTTGTTAGAACAATTGTTTTAATTATTTTTATTTTATTAACTATATTTATCTATTGTGCTAGTCATAATTTTTATTAGGGTATTATTAATTTTTAATTATAAAAACCTAATTCACCCTTATCTTAGGTTGTCTTTTGGGTAACAAACCTGCCTATAAAGTTAAAATGATAATTATTTTTTACCCTTAAATGATAATTATTTTTTATTTCTTAACCAAATTAAATTTTAATTTTTTTAAAAAAAATACTAAAAATCAAACCATACATAACCTAAGAATCTTTTAATAACTCATTTTTTACATTGGTAACTTATTTAATTATTTGTTAATTTTATGACATTTTTACCATCAGAGGCCTGTTTGGTTAACCATTTCGTTTTAAGTTTTCAATTTATATTTACAAAAATTTTAAAAACTGTCATAAAAACTTGTTTGATAATTTTTTTGGTTTATAAATGGTTGTCTCAGTTTGTAAATTTAAATAAAAAACATAAATTCAAAAAATAAGTTTACGTTGGTTTTTAAATAAAAATTAACAAAATTTTATTAACAAAATTTTTTTTCAATTAATTTTTTTTTTCAATGAATTTTTTTTTCCAACTAATACTAACCGAGGGGGTAATTGGTAATGCTACTTTAAATCTTAGGGAGGGGATTGTAATTTCTAAAATGTGAGGGATGCCAATGTAATTTGCCCAATGAGGGCAAAAATTGTATTTAAAAAAATTAAATTGCTGATGAGGGAATCTGTAATGAAATTTCAAACCTCAAGGGGAGAGATGTAATTTTCAAAAGGTGAGAGGGAGAAACTGCAATAAACATAAATCTCAGAGGGTGTCAATATAATTTATCCAAAATTATTTAATTGAGTGGACTTAACATTTAACATCAACATAGAGTATGTCAAGTTTAACATATTGAGTTCATGTCAAATTTCAACTCCACATTTGGCATGAGCTCGTTTGGGACTTGTTTTTGATTAAAATAGTTACAAAAAATAAAATAAATTTTTTAGTCTAATAAGACAAAACATCACATCCTATCTACAATCATTACATTCTTTCTCTCGTAAAAAAGTCAAAAAAACTAAAAAAGCTAAAAACTCTTCCCAAATGAGACTTTTGAGCCCCAAATTAAAATAACAAAAAAAACCAAAAAACCGAAAAATTCCTAAACAAAACGTTGACTCCTACAAGGCTGCAATAGAAACATAAAAACCTAGCTTTGATATGTCAAAGCACATTATTTCTTGTATAAAACGCTATGAGATTAATGGGACACAACACAACACTCAATTTAAATATAGTTTTTATTCCAATTTATTAATTCAAATACACATAATAAAATTGCTCCAAGGCTATATATATTATGCTTCATAACAACCCATTTCTACCCTCTCATTTCATACTAATTATTCGGTTAATCTAAACTACTACAATAATTTTAGTTTCAAATCACTCATGTCACATAAAGAAAAATGAGACCAAAGGTTCCATCTTTTTTAACTTTTCGAAGAGGTGGGTTTGGAAAAATTAGAAGTAGCGTCTCACTTTTTCCTATATAGTCTATCGTGAGTGACTGAATCCAAAACTGGTGGTCCCGACCACTTGACAAAATTTCTTCATTTTCACCCGTGATGGGATTTTCTACTTCCACCCTTCTTTTTTGATTTTGGAAGAAGTGGGATGCTTTGCTCATGTCTGAAGAAATTATCAGGATCAACCTTGGCCTTCACTTGCACCAATCTCTTGAAGTTGTTCTTGAAGTACTTGGCACCCCAAACACTTGCTTGCCGAAAAGTAGTCCCATTCTTGTTCACACCCAAATCAAGATCCCTATAATTGACATATGCTTCTCTTGGAGACTTAGAAACATAACTAGCCATGTAATCATAAAGACTTCTAATCCAATCAATGTGCTTTGCATCTGAGCCTTTAGCTTGATCTCCCCAACTTGTCACATACATGATCTTAAACAATATGCCATTTCTATGAGGAAAAGGAATTGCAGACTCCGAAATCTTACCCATCATTCCACCATAAGGGTTGAATATCACAACTGGATTATCTTCTTGCAATAGTCTCTTCCATAGCCCTTCAAGCCCATTTTGAGGAATGGGTTGTCTCACAAAATCTGATTTGGCCTTGAAATAGTTCTTGAAAGTTGGTTTCCCTTGAAGAAGGACCTCCGGAGGGACATTGGCAGGGTACTGAGCGATGTAAAGCACCGATTTGAGCCAACTCATTTCGGTACAATCTTGTTTCTGTAAACCCAATTCAGGGAAGCTTTGAGTCATCACTTGGAGCAACCTATCAGCTCTGCCAAGAAAAAGGGCATTGTAGGAAGTTGCAATAGTCCTCTGGCCTTTTTTGGTGGAGTTGACCGGTGTTATGATGACTCTGATGAAGAGATTTTCATCAAGGCTGGGTGCAACTTGTTGCCATTTATAGAGGATCTTCGTCGCACCTTGTTCTAAGGTCTTTGTAACTGTAAAAACTGTCACCGTGGCGGGTACAGGAACCAAATTTATCTTCCATGAAAGAATAACCCCAAAACTCGCTCCTCCGCCACCTCTAATGGCCCAAAACATATCTTCTCCCATTGTTTGTCTATTGAGAATTGTCCCATTAGCATTAATGACCTGAGCATCGATGACATTGTCAGCTCCAAGGCCATATTTTCTCATCATGGAACCATATGCCCCGCCTGTGATGTGCCCACCGATGCCTAAACTCGTGCATAGGCCAGCCGGGAAGCCATAGAATTTGCTTTTCTCCGCGATTCGATAGTAAACTTCGCCAGTTGTTGCACCGGCCTCAACCCAAGCGCTTTTTCCCTTTATGTCAACATTGATGGACCGGAGTTTTGATAAGTCGACAATGATGAATGGTGATTCTATTTGTGACACGTAAGAAAGGGCTTCGTAGTCATGGCCCCCACTCCGGACTCTGAGGTGGATTTTGAGTTGTTTTGCGCAAATGACAGCGGATTGGACTTGGGATTCGGATAGTGGTGTGAAGATCAGCTCAGGTTTTGGGACCAATGGCTCCAAGTACCTGAGGTTTTGGGCAGTGGATTGTAGGAGGGGAGTGAATGAAGGGTTTTTTGGTGTGTAAAAGGCTGCGGAGAGTGGCGTAGAGGGAGGAGATTTTTGAGAAAGGCATTTGTAAAAATGATCTTGAAGTGAATTTGAAGCAGCCCACGAAGCTGATAACAAGAGAACAAGTAAAGAAAACAATATGGAGGATGAGCTTGAAAACTCCATATCTGTTTTCTATGTTTTCTTGTTTTTGTTGTGTTCAATTGGGGGTGAGTCAGTTGTGGTATTTATGGACTTGATGGGGCGGTGTCTGATGACTCCCGTGTGTAATACTGCCAAAATCGCGTGTTGAAAGAGTTGAATCTTTGTGTGGGTAAGAATGAGTTCTAGAACAGTTTCCAATTTCTAATGGTCCAATTTTAACCCCCTAAGGCCTAGTTTGGCATAATGTAAAAAATTCAAAAAGTCAAAAAGTTATTATCCTATTTAAGTTATATTATCTTATTTAAATCACATCATTCCTCTAGCACATTATTTCAAATCCAACCTATATTTCACGTTTTTTCGTAAAAAATTAAAAAATACACTTATTTAGATCATTCCAAACAAATCAATTTGACTTATTTCAAAATCAATTACAGAATTATACATATATATATATATATGGACATGTAAGATTTTTAAAAAAAATAGATCTCATTGATAAATTCTGTAAAATATTATCTATTCAAGTGTATTCTATATTTAATTCTATAATCGGTTTCTATATTCATAAAATGAATAAGAAATTTTGTGTATTTCCACCTAAAAGGAATTTTGTGTATTTCCACCCAACCGCAAAGCTTGACTGTTAAAATTGTCCCACTAGCATTGTGACTTTGAGTTTCATGAAAGTGAGAGATGGCCACTTTTAAGAGTTGAATCTTTGTGGGAATCTGCCTAACAAATCACGAATTCTAGAATTTGTTCCCATTCTAAGTTTTGTGCCCCTTTTGAGGGTTAAATCATGTTGGAAAAAAATGAATTTTTGGTGACTTTAATTAAATATTAAAGTGGATCCCAATCGCCTATTTTGTTGGATTTAAGTGGGTGTAGATACTTTGCAATGAGATCTTTACACCACAAATAGAATGGCCAAAAACCATTGAGAATTGAATGAGAAATTGCTCCATGAAGTTAGCTTCATGAAAGAGTTAATGGGGTTTGTAACTTCTGCCTTTATTGTAGAGTTTAATAGTGCATTAATGGGGTTTGTAACTCCTGCTTTTGTTGCAGCGGTTAATGGTGCATTAGTGACCAGTCATAAAGGCCGAAGGTTTCTTCTCTCTCCCCTATACATGTATAAATTGAGACCTTCCTGTCAGGTCTCAGATACAGAAATTGTTTCTTCCATTCTTTAGTCAGTTTGCCAGAAAGTTCCTACTATGAGAGAGTACTGCCACTGTTTTGTTTGCTAAGCTAGACAGAGAGTCCTTCTGCCGTAGCTGGTTTTTGACCGTCGTATCCTGGGAGACAGACGCCGGGATTCCTCAAGCACTCGACCCGTGAGGTGGCGAAATCTGTTTTAAGGAAACTGCTACCGTGCAGGCTTCGGTTTGCTTTGTTTACCATTTTATTGTATTGTGTATTTCTGTTGTAATTTAGTTGTAATTCTCAGCATGTGTTCTTGGTATTTATATAATTTTGATTTCTTCATAAATCTATTTATTTAATTTCACAATTTGAACAACAAGCTTAAAACATATTTATTTATGTATTTTCTATGAAATTGATCGAATAGATTTATATAGACAATTAGGTTAGTTTTGTATAATGTTACTAGGAACTGTTGCAGAATTTCTCACTATTTCAATGATTGTAAATTATGCAATGTTATTCTCTAATTGCTTAGTTTAATTAGAATACTCTATCATAATTTGCATACTTAATTATATTAGTACGATCTTATTTTATACGTATGACTCATCATTCCCCTACTATGTTTCGCATGAATTTTAAGGTTATAAAATATAATTTATGGATGTTGCAAGTTTTGACATGTTATTTAGTTTCTAGCTTTTAGTTTTCTTACATGATTTAATCTTTAGAATTTTTTGCATCTTAGTTGCTAAATGATTATTGGATTGTAACTCTTGCCTATTAATTTTAGTTTAATGTATTTGGAGTTATAGAGTTTTTATGAATTGTGTACATGATTAATTTGAATTAATTGGGTGCATTAATCTGAATTATTTAATTGGGTGCATTAATCTAAATTATTTAATTGGATGCATTAACTTTGAATTTAATTAATTTATTTGGAGTTATTAGTTTAAAATGGTTTCAATTATTTATTATATTTATTTTTTGCTTAGATTATTTGTTTGTATTTTGTTGTGGTTTGCTACTAACTTTCTTTGTAGAAATACTTATGCGAAAAGGAATGGAAAAACAAATACAAAACCATATAAACAGTATTTGGGATGTGAAAATAAAAATGTTTGAACAACTAACTTTTGTGTTGAATAGGAATACCTAAGCGTGGAAAGGCTTTTGGACTAAATAGAATCCTTATGGATTGGCTATTTTATTTAAATGGTTGAAGCATGTTTGTTTGAGATGTAGTTGGTTTGTTTACCAATTTGTAGTAGCAAGTTTTATTTGCTTATATTGTTATAGCAATTATTTTACATTGCTTGTAAAAGTTTTGGACCTTGGTTGGTTTTAACCTAGTTCATCCCTAAGAAAATTTAATTCTTAAAATTGTTTATCACGGACTAGGAGTCAACATGCTCTTAAAAGTTTTGTCAAAAGGATTAACTAGGTTTTAAGTGGGACCGTTGTGACCCATCCAGTCTTCTTGGGAACTTTCTTGACCATGTTCAATTCTAGGTTTTTGTGGTGAGACTAATTTTGAATTAACTTTTCATCTAAGGGATTTTCTAAGGGTTAAGTTTAATTTCTAGAACACAGAAGTGATATTCTAGTGTAATTTTCGAAATGGCAACTATCACTGATGCTGCTGCTACTGCTAATGTTGGTGGGGATCTGAACCCCGGGGCAACTGGGTTGCCAACCGCTACTGCTGTGGCCTCTGTGGTCAACCCTGGTGTTACTCTGACTGTTCCGGGAGGACCGCTTAGTCATCATGAGCGCCCAGAAAAATTTGCAGGGATAAATTTTAAGAGATGGCAGCAAAAGATGCTGTTTTACTTGACCATGCTAAACCTTGCAAAGGTTCTAAGTGAGGATCCTCCAGCCGTGGCAGAGAATGAGCCTGACAGGTAGAAATTCATGGCGCTTGACACATGGAAGCAGACAGACTATCTTTGCCGGAACTATGTGTTCAACAGCTTGGCAAACTCACTCTATAGTGTGTTTTGTTCCAAGAGCTCAGCGAAAGAGTTATGGGAATCTTTGGACAAAAAGTATAGGACTAAGGATGCCGGGGCAAAGAAATTTGTGGTTGGTCGGTTCCTAGATTTTAAAATAGTAGATTCAAAAAACTGTGATAAGCCAAGTCCAGGAGTTCCAAGTGATCTTGCATGAAATTTATACTGAAGGGATGCCTTTGAATGAGTCATTCCAAGTTGCTGTGATCATTGAGAAACTTCCCATTGGTTGGAAGGATTTCAAGAACTACTTGAAGCACAAGCGCAAGGAAATGTCAGTTGAAGAGCTAGTTGTCCGACTCCGGATTGAGGAGGATAATAGAAAGAAAGGATGGAGTACCTCTTTAATAAAGGCCAATGTCATTGAGCATGGAAAATCTTCTGGAGTAAGGAAGAAGCCCCCTGTGAACAAGGGCTCTAAGTTAGGGCCTAGAGGTGGTGTTGCAAAGAAGGCGACATACAAGCCACATGAACCAGGTTATCGATTCTTTGGGAAGTGCTATAACTGTGGTAGCGAAGGGCATCGGGCTAGTGACTGCCGCAAGCAGAAGAAGCCATACAAGACCAAACCTCGTGCTTATATGGCAGATATACAAGAGCACTCCCATGAGGAGGATGATATGCACTTGTCTGTCGTTGTTTCTGAGGTGAATCTGGTGGGTTCAAACCCAAGAGAATGGTGGATTGATACTGGGGCTACACGCCACATCTGCTCCGAGAAGAAACTGTTTACAACTTTCGAGCCGGTTACAAATGGTGAGAAGTTGTTTATGGGAAACTCTTTTGCTACCTCCATTGTTGAGGGGAACGGAAATATGGTCCTGAAGTTGACATTAGGAAAGGAGCTGACTTTGAACGAAGTCCTGTATGTCCCGGACATTCGTAAGAATCTTGTCTCAGGGTCTCTTCTCAGTAAACATGGTTTTCGCATGATTTTTGAGTCCGACAAAGTCGTTCTAACCAAGAACGGAATGTATGTGGATAAGGGCTATATGTTGGGGGGTATGTTTAAACTCAATGTAATGATTGTAATCCCAAAGCTGAATAAAGGTGCATCTTCTTCTGCTTACATGCTTGAGTCTTCCGATTTGTGGCATGGTAAACTAGGACATGTGAACTTTGAAGCTTTATGTAGATTAATCAAGTTAGATCACATACCATCTTTTAAGATTAATCCGAAACACAAGTGTGAAACTTGTGTTGAAGCGAAGTTGACAAGATCTTCGTTTCGTTCTATTGAAAGAAGTTCAAAACCGTTGGATTTAGTGCATAGTGATGTGTGTGACTTAAAATTTATACAATCACGTGGTGGCAATAAGTACTTCATCACTTTTGTTGATGATTGCACTAAGTATTGTTATGTCTATTTGCTCAAAAGCAAAGATGAGGCGATTGACAAGTTTGTTCTTTATAAGAATGAAGTTGAGAATCAAGTAGGCCGCAAGATTAAGGCTCTAAGAAGTGATCGTGGTGGTGAGTATGAATCTCAGTTTATTGAGATTTGTGCTCAATCTGGGATTATCCACCAAAACACGGCGCCTTATTCCCCTCAGTCTAATGGGATTGCTGAGCGGAAGAATAGGATGCTAAAGGAAATGATGAATGCAATGTTGATAAGTTCTGGATTGCCACAGAACATGTGGGGGGGAAGCCATTCTCTCTGCAAATTACATTCTGAATAAAATTTCCCGGAAGAAGGTGGACAAGACGCCGTATGAGTTATGGAAAGGGATTAAGCCTTCGTATAAATTCTTACGAATGTGGGGGTGTCTTGCAAAAGTGGCAATTCCTACACCCAAACGGGTTAGGATAGGCCCGAAATCCGTGGATTGTATATTCATTGGTTATGCACATAATAGTAGTGCATATCGGTTTCTTGTACATAAGTCTGAAATCCCAGACA